TAGGTTTGGTAAAGATGAGAGATCTGCGGTTTATTGTGAAGTATAGCGGAGGCAACACAGTGCAATTGGAGTTGTTTTGTCCCTATTGAGGATGCACTCTCACTATCACATTCTCTGTTTCACGGCCATATCGTGCATTTATGCCTGCCTTCCTGCCTATGATGCGTCATTGTACAGAAATGCAGTTGCTGTCACCTAAATGAAGAGAGGAATGTGGGTTTTGTCCGAGGGGGGCGACCGGATGTGATTAGCAATCAACTCACAAATAATTTTGTTGTCAAACATATATTAGCTTCTATGAACCTACAGTATCATGCTTGTCTGTTCCCAAGGCACCTTCAATTTTGAAGATCAGGATGCATTTTTATCTTTTTTTTGCGAAACTCGCAGGCGTTCTTTCAAAAGGAATCACGACCTGTACATGGGAAGACAGTTTGTGAACAACTATATTATCAAAGTATTTCCCTTGTCATGAGAGGGTCTGAGGGTTAGTGCTGTAGCTTGGGGTTAAGGTGACGATGAGGAAAGCAATTGTGTGATGTCAGACAACGCTAGATTGTGAGAAGATCTACAAATCAACACCAAATGAGACTTTTGTGTTGCTCCTAACGTTCCTCAACGTCTGTGTGTAACCACTTGTCCATCTAACCATAACTTTGTCGGCGATATTTTTCGACGCGAGCCCGAAGTGGACTGTTTCGACGTACGATTGACCCCCAAGTCCAGCGCCTCGTCCTCCCACCCTTCTGATCATTTTCATACCTCCTGCCTCAACTGTCACAATTGCGTTGATGCTCGCGCATGCCCCTGTTGGTTCGTTACCAACTCGTACTAGCAGATATCTCTTGCTGGCCACCTTTGGCAATACGTTCTTCATGAGCCTATAGCGCCCGAGAAATTGCTTCCGCCAGCCTTGACCGAGGATAAAATCAACCCTTCCGTCGTTATTGTAGTCTACCGCCATGACGTTATGGCCCCGTGTACTGGATGGTTTTATGACTTCCTTGCATGCCCTCGCCTCAAATCTTTTCCCTTGCCGGTTCAGTAGCAGCAGGTCATATCCAGTGAAGGTAGTCACTATTAAATCTGTCCAACCATCGTTGTTGAAGTCCGCCGCGCTCACTCCCATGCTGTTCGTCCCAGTCAATGCACCCGCACTTTTCGGTGCTCGCACATACCTGCCCCCTTGGTTAAGCAAAAGAATATCGTCAAACATGTCGACAAAAGGCGGTCCTCTGGGTGTCACTAAGTTGGAGTTTGCTCTCGCGATGTAGAGATCCATATCGCCGTCATTATCGAAATCCAATTCGACGACAGCCGCCACAGTTCTTTGCAAGTTTCCTAAACCAGGAGCAACTGTTCTTGTGATATCTCTGAATTTGAAGGGAGCGATGAGCTTGAAAAACCTCAGCACCGAGAAATGAACGACTTCCATGATCCCGTCTCCATCAATATCTGTGACAATAGCTCTCTCCTCGTTTACCTCTTCAATGCCCAAAGGCCTCTTGAACACGTATTTTCCCTTCACGTTTTGATAGGCAAGTTGCTTCAAGCCACCAGATCTTCCACCGAGTAAATTGATAAACAAAATGTCTGGTCCCCCGCCATTCCTTCTGTTTGCATTGTTCCTTCGAAGAGACATATCCATAAACACAGCTACTCTGCCGCGAGTTTCCTCCATACCGACTCCGATTTCATTAGTGACTGCTCGCACGCGTCTATTCGGGCGCTCGATGAAGACGAACGGCGGCCTCAACTTCATACCGTTTCCACCACCGACAGAAATCGTCATGAGTCGCTCCCTTGTCCGCCCAGAGCGGGGGCCAATGGAAATGCCATGCACGTCTGACAGGAATGAGAAGCTGGACCTCTTGAAGGTGTTGGCCCCGGTGCCGTGGAAGATACGCACAGGGCTTTTGTTGTGAAAGGTTAGAATTATGTCGGTGTTTCCGTCGTTGTCCAGATCTCCAACGGTAGGGCCGCCAAACATTTCCGATGAGGCGGGCTGAGTAAGCCCGGCTGCGGTTGTAACATCTCGAAACGACTGGGAAAGGGCAAAGGGGAGGAGAGCAAGGAAGGAGGAGAGGAAAAGGAATGAAGACATTGTGCTGCAAACTGGGCGCAAAGTCAACATCCAGCACAGTATACTTATGTACGTTCTGGGCCGTTGGTGGGGCACAGGAGGGCTTTATAGGGACTTGGGTGGAGTGTGTATTCAAAGAAGCTTTGCCAAGCCGGTATTTGCACTAGAACTACAGTGATCAACGGCTGATGTGCAACATGGGAACAAATTGAAGCTCCCAAATTAGATTGGAAAGGGCGACCTTTGGCTAGAGTTGATCTACGACAAGTGTGTTGCTCCTGCTTCTGGCATTGAGAGGTGAAGTAAACGGGCTGTTGCACCGCGAAAGACGTCGATAATTTAATTCGAAAGTGGGGAAGCGTTCCCAAGAACAACGATGAACACAACAAAAAGATGATTCCAGACACGGATTGAACCGCCGCCAGATAGAAGGTCTTCGATCCTGTAAAAGACTAATTCCGGACCGTTTATACTGTACACGTAGAGTATAAGGTGTGATAGTAAGATACAGTACAGCATAAGGAATATTAAATGGCACTGTAACTTGATATGTACAGGAACACACACCTCAACAAAGCACGATAAGGATACTTGTACCGTAGCTGTAGATACTGTGCACCAGACTAGAAGAGGCGGAAACAGGGGAGTAGCCGGTGTACATAAAAAGAATGGGATTCCGAGCAATGATCTGTCTACGGCAGGTACCATGCAGCGCAAGGTACTAGACGTATCAATTCCTGTTCTACTGTACCCATTAAGTCGTTTACAGTGTCACAACTCTGATTAGTAGACATCATAAAAGAGTGTACTCCCCGTCGCATTCATTGAGGGTCTACGCGATGGGTAGCACATTCTGCGACCCAGGGCCCTGACCTTCGTCATGCTCTTGACTTTCTAACATGTTATGAGTTGAGCGCATGATTGCCCAGGTGGTAATGCGCGCAGGGTGACAGAGGAATGGCTCAATTGTAAGGTACGAGCCGCGATAGAGCTACGTACGATACCTATCAAAAAGGTGCGTCATTCAAAGATATTAGAGCGATACTAGCCCTGCTTCGCGTGGTAACATTACAACACTCATTCTGCGTAACAGTTGCGCTTAAATTGAAGTGCATACAGCTCTCTAACACCTGAGCCTACGGTAGCACAGCGCTGAGCCCATATTCCTACAGTACCACGCAACACAGCTCGTCCTCTGCTTTGATCTCCTGTGAGAGTTGCGCCATCTACCGTACTGTACCAAACGGTGCTGTTCCCCGCAAAACTCGAATTCGCATCGACGCACGACATTTTGTACATGTGCGAGGCTAAATTGCGCTTTAATGGTCGCACACTACGCGCAATTCCTAAAGGTGATGCATGCACAAAAATCCTCTGTTGCGAACGTCTGGCTACTGGCTTCATGCGGAGCCTTCATGAATGCTCCGCATGAAGCCTGTTGCAGGTTCAGGTTGCTGTTCGTTTATTCAATGTTGAGGACTGACGCTAATGAGGATACAGTAATGCGTTAAACAGAGGTCATCACTTTTGATGTGGAACACGGCCGACAACGGCTGCAGAGTATCCGCTACAGCCCAATGCGCAGAAAATTCCAGGTCCTACAGTACAGCACCACGCAGCCACGCAGCCCTTCATCGCGTTCCCCAGTTACATCAATAGCCATGACCCGTCTTCAACTACGTTTGTTTCAGAGCATAGCTATTGTACCGCATACTGTACAAGCCGTACGTGCTTCACGATCGCCCGCATACGCCACTAACATTACACTCATGGGGAGACGAACGCCTGTACTTGAGCTTGAATAGCGTATGAAAACAGAGGAAAGTGTACACTGCTGTCGCAACGACAAAATGAAGAGTGCAGGTCGCCCGTACATCGTTGCTTTAACAAAGTTTGTAGGAGGCCAAACCACACAAGGATGCCGACAGGCCCAAATTCACTGCACTTCTGGAGTACATGAATGGTGTGGACGGTATTGGGCGCGCCATTCCCTAATAACTGTAGCCTGATCCGTTGCTCTGCTGGCAATGGGAGTCGATGAGTTGATCCGAGACGAAGTTAAATTGTTAGGCCCCGCTTTGTTTCCACGCGCACGGAGGCGATGTGGACGGCGAGCAACGTAGGCAGACAAGAACGTGGCGAGCGCTACACCACGATACCTAAGATGAGCTTGTTAGCGTACTAAAATAGACGTTGCAGCCGGGAGGGCTACTGGTCTGCGAAGTGCAGTGCCTCTCCACGATGGAAACGACAACTCGTCCATCTGTAAAGGTTTCTCGTGCATGAAGGGAGGAGCTTTGCTGCTATGCTATTTATTACCTGCGTGAGGTATTTCTCAGAGTATTGGATGTCGATTGTACGGTACAGGGCGTACTCGGGTCACTCTTCGAGGTTTTGCGGTCATGGGTAATTTAGTGGAGTTTTCAAAGACGCTCGAAGCGGCATTTAAGATCTTGTTTACATACTTCACACTGTGAAGTATGTAAACAAGATGTGATGCTGTAACATTTCTGTGAAGTTCACAGAAATGTTACAGCATCACAGTACAGTGGCCCCGTTTAGGTTTTCAGTAGATGGAACCTTGACGTGGCATGAGCAGGTGTACGGTAAGTGATCTTACCACAAGACTTGTTGTGGCAGGACCCGATCGCTTCCAATAGGAGAGTAAAGCAGTGGTACAGTAGTGACCACAATATAAGGGCACCCCGTGCCAACCCCTTCATACTGCTCTTAATCCGAGGTTGCTACCATTCAAGAATCCCGCACAGGATGCCCATTTTACTCCTTAGAACGCTGCGGCATCTCACTAATAAGCAGTTGCCTGGACCGGTGCTGCGACCAATTCCAAGACGCTTCATCACAGAAGAGGCGCTCGCGCCATTTTGAAGACAACGCGCAGCCTCGGCTTTCTCTTTCAACGAAAGGCGCTTGCGCCTCTTCAGCGAGCCGTGGGTCACCGGTGGAAAGTGAGAGGTCATTTCGGAGCACCGTATTGATCCACCGTATTGATCCACCGTATTGATCCGTGCGTCGGAGAAATGGAACAGGCGGACTGTGGGCGGGACTTGTGGGATGCGTTTGAAATAGCAGCCGAGAATAGCAGCCGAGAAAGGGCCTGTGTGATTGGGATTACAGCGTTTGATGGTGCTTGAAGTTATGATACCGTGCTGTGCACACGTGCCAAGCGAAAATGGTGCTCTTACTGCGAGGTCGTTTTTATTCAAAGTGCTCGTATCGCGACCCCCCCTGTACGCAGTTCGCAGATAAGCGGATTTCACTACTGTGCAGTAAATCAGCGGCTGTTGGAATATTAATTGTCGCAGAAATGGAGTGCGAACGGGACGCAAACGTAAAAAAATTACTAAAAAATAAGCAGCTGATTGTAGTCTATTTTACCTACATAAAATATATATTTCAGCACCTGGCCATAAACGCCATAAACGCAGTCTAGCTGGTGTCTAGACGACAAGTGACCTCATAATATGAGATCATATCATATTATGATGAGGCCTTTTGATCTATTATGCGGCAACTTTTCAACCTATTTTCTCGACTTGTGCTTACTCAACAACAACGGAAAGATACCCACGCCACCATCAGTAGTGTACTTCTGCGTTGCGGAAGGATAGAGTTTGTTAAGATCTACACGTCTTTTCCAGCCAACCTTAGAATGCCTAAAAAAGAAGCCTTTTTGACCACCCTCAAAACGTTATGTGTTGATATCTTCGAAACCCGTTTCGCCAAACGCCAAACGCCTGATTAACCCTGTGCTCTGGTTTGTGACGATTTAGGGCGTCACTAAAAGTGAGACGATTTGTGTGACGATTTGTGAGAGTTTTGCTCTTTTCGCCGCCGTCATCTCATTCATCTCACTCCATCTTCTCATTCGTCACACATGGTTTGTGAGTATTTGTTGAATTGTAGCACTTTTTGAGAACGTTTTGTGATCATCACAAAAATCGTCTCAAACAGCACACATTTTCGTGAATCTTTTGTGATGGCTTTGTGTGAGTTTTGTGAAGGCATAACAAAGATCACATATAAAAGGCTCTCCATCTCAAAAGGCAAGCAAACTGAACAACGTCACACAAAAAATCTCCCTTTCCAGCCCTCTACGGCTAGTTTCCAGAGACACCTCCCCTTAAATAGCCGTCACAAAAAAGGAGCACAGGGTTAATATGTCAACCGGGTATTGAAACTTCGTTGGCTTCTTAGTCTTTCTGTGTACAGTATTCACAACTTGTATCCCAATGCTTCGCAAGATGTTATTGCCGAGGGCATGTACGCAAAAAAAAAGCTGGCCTCACATGAAGCAAATCGCTTGTCGTCTAGACGCTCTAGAGCCCGAAATGCTTTCTCCAACCTCTTTGTACGCGCGAGAAGATGGAGCTACAGGTCCAGTAAGCAGATATCGTTGGAGCGGGCGGATACACGACTGTGCTGTCACAAAGGCAAATACAATACGTAGGGGCGCCGTCTGGAGCCCTCTGCAACCCCGACCGCGCAAGCCGCCTAGGCCTCCGGCCAGGCCGTGCGTGCGCGGAATGGCGGTAGCATGGCGGCCGCCTAAGCGCGCGCACGCTCGCCCGCGGCCGCGGCAAGCGCGGCCCGCGAGGGCCGCGAGGGCCGCCGCGCACGGCGACCGGCCGGCCGCGGACCGCCCCCCGGCGACGCGATGGGGTGCGTGTGCAGCCGGGGCGCGGGCGCGGCGCGGTGCGCAGAATGCGGGCGGGAAGCGGGGCGCGTGCGCGCGGCAGGGGCAGGGGCAGGGGCGCGCGCGGTGCGCAGGGAGGGAGGGCGCGCGCGAGACGCGCGACGGATGTGCGCGCGAGGGCGCGGCACGTCGGAGGGGCGTGGGGTGCAGCGAGGAGAAGCGGGGCGGCTGCGCGGAGAGGAGCAAGGTGATGAGGCTGGTGTGCAAGGTGGAGCGTGTACAAGTAGGAGTGTGTAGGTGGCAATAGTTCCGGATCACTGACGGGTTGTAGCGTGTCCACGTGTGCAGCGGCTCACTGTAATGGTGTGGCCGTTCCTGAAACGTTACAGTCGGCGAAGCGTCGTGGGCGCGTGTTGTAATTCCTCCTCATTACCTCTGCGTGTATTGCGCACTTCATTATCGCCGAGACGATGCGTACCGTCGGGAAAAGGTCGACGACAAGGAACGAGTTACTCTGCAAGTAAAAGCCGCGGGCACGCCCCGCCTCCTCACGCCTCCGCCTCCTCACGCCTCCGCCTCCGGAGCAGCGCCGACCAGCCGCGCCACCTCCTCCCTCACACGGCCGACCTTGGCGGCCTTGACCAGCAGCGCGAGCATGCACCTCTCCGCGACCTCGCCGTCGGCGCCGGTCCTTCGCGCCGTCCACTCGACCCTCTCGCTCGCCGCGCGCGCCCACACCTCGTCCTCGACCTTGGTGTACGCGGTCTCCTGCGCCTTGTCCGCCTCTCCCCTCCTCCTCTTGCGCCCGCCGCCGCCGCCGAGCACCTCGGTCACGTAGAGGTACCAGTCGAACCTGAACATCCTCCTCGCCTCCTCCGTGCCCTCGTCCTCGGTGGCCCACTCCACCTCGCAGAACAGCGCCTCGAGCATCTTGGGCACCACCAGCGGCGGCAGGTTCACCACCCGCTCGCACACCACCAGCCCGATGTTGCGCGCGCCGGGCCCCTCCGCCGCCGCCTTGCCTAGCACCGCCGCAAACCCCTCGGCCCCCGCCGCCGCGGCCGCCGCCTCCAGCCCGCGCACCACGCCCGCCAGCAGCCGCGCGTGCGCGCGCACGCCCAGCACCGAGATCACCCCCACCGCGTGCTCCTCCTCCGACACCCGCACCACCGTCCCGACCCGCGTCTGCGCGCACACCGCCTCCGCGAGCGCGCGCGCGCTGCACCCCGCCTCCGTCTCCGTCTCCGTCTCCGTCTCCGTCCCCGTCTCCGTCTCCGCCTTCCCCCGCGCGCCGGCGCCCTTCTTCTCGCCGCGCGCGCCGCTTCCCACGAACGCACGCATCA